AATACTGACTGGGGAAAAATTGAAAGCATTCCCTCTGAGAATGGGAACAAGACAAGGATGCCCACTCTCACCACTCCTTTTCAATACAGTACTGGAATTCCTAGCCAGAGCAATCAGACAAGAAATAAAGGGCATTGAATCGGGAAAGAGGAAGTCAAACTGTCCCTGTTTGCTGTTGAGATGATCGTTTACCTTGAAAACCCTAAGGACTCCTTCAGAAAGCCCTCAGAACTGATACAAGAATTCAGCAAAGTTTCTGGATACAAGATTAATGTACACAAATCAACAGCTCTTCTATGCCAAGAGCAACCAAGTGGAGAATCAAATCAAGAACTTAACCCCTTTTACAACAACTGTAAAAAAAATAAAATACTTAGGAACATACCTAACAAAGGAATCAAAAGACCCCACAAGGAAGACTAAAAAACACTCCTGAAATAAATCATAGATGACACAAACAAATGGAAACATCCCATGCTCATGGATGGGTAGAATCAATATTGTAAAGATGACCATACTGCCAAAAGCAATCTACAAATTCAACACAATGCCCATCAAAATACCACCATCATTCTTCACAGAGTTAGAAAAATCAATTCTAAAATTCACATGGAACCAAAAAAAAACCTGCATAGCCAAACCAAGACTAAGCAAAAACAACAAATCTAAAGGCATTACACTACCTGACTTCAAACTATACTATAAGGCCATAGTCACCAAAACAGCATAGGACTGGTATAAAAATGGGCACATAGACCAATGGAACAGAACAGAGAACCCAGAAATAAACCCAAATACTTAACAACCAACTGATCTTTGACAAAGCAAACAAAAACATAAAGTGGGGAAAGGACACTGTTTTCAAAAATGGTGCTGGGTTAACTGGCAAGCCACATGTAGGAGAATGAAAGTGGATCCTGTCTCTCTTCCTATACAAAAATCAACTCAAAAGGGATTAAGGACTTAAACCTAGGATCTGAAACTATAAAAACTCTAGAAGATAACACTGATAAAACCCTTCTAGACATTGGCTTAGGCAAGGATTTCATGACCAAAAACCAAAAAGCAAAGCAATAAAAACAAAGATAAATAGCTGGGACCTAATTAAGGAGTTTTTGCATGGCAAAAGTAACAGCAGAGTAAACAGACAACCCACACAGTGGGAGAAAATCTTCACAATCTACACACCTGACAAAAGGCTAGTATCTAGAATCTACAATAAACTCAAACAAATCAGTAAGAAACAAATGAACAATCCCATCAAAAAGTGGGCTAAGGACATGAACAGACAATTCTCAAAAGAAGATATACAAATGGCCAACAAACATGAAAAAAATGCTCAATATCACTAATGATCAGGGAAATGCAAATCAAAACAACAATTCAATACCACCTTACTCCTGCAAAAATGGCCACAATCAAAAAAATCAAAAAGCATTAGATGTTGGCGTGTATGCAGAGATCACGAAACACTTTTACACTGCTGGTGGGAATGTAAACTAGTACAGCAGCTACAGAAAACAGTGTGGAGATTCCTTAAATAAAAGTAGAATTACCATTTGATCCATCAATCCCACACTGGGTATCCATCCAGAGGAAAAGAAATCATTATTTGAAAAAGATATGTACACCACATATTTATAGCAGCACAACTCATACATAATTGCAAAATGCCTATCAATGAACAAGAGGATAAAGAATCATATATATATGTGTGTGTGTGTGTACTCCATCACATACATACACACATACATGTGTGTGTAGTAGTATAAAGAATCATGTATGGGCCAGACGCGGTGGCTCAAGCCTGTAATCCCAGCACTTTGGGAGGCCGAGGCGGGTGGATCACGAGGTCAAGAGATCGAGACCATCCCAGTCAACATGGTGAAACCCCGTCTCCACTAAAAATACAAAAAAAAAAAATTAGCTGGGCATGGTGGCGCATTCCTGTAATCCCAGCTACTCAGGAGGCTGAGGCAGGAGAATTGCCTGAACCCAGGAGGCAGAGGTTGTGGTGAGCCGAGATCGCGCCATTGCACTCCAGCCTGGGTAACAAGAGTGAAACTCTGTCTCAAAAAGAAAAAAGAAAAGAAAAAAAAAAAAAGAATCATGTATGTGTGTATATACCATTATATGATGGAATACTACTCAGCCATAAAAAGGAATTAATTAACGGCATTTGCAATGACCTGGATCAGACTGCAGACTATTACTCCAAATGAAGTAACTTAGGAATGAAAAACCAAACATCTTATGTTCTCACTGACGTGTGGGGGCTAAGCTATGAGGACGCAAAGGCATAAGAATGATACGATGGGCTTTGGGAACTTGGTGGTGAAGGATAAAAGACAACATATATGTACAGTATATACTGCTAGAGTTATGGGTACACCAGATCTCCCAAATCACCACTAAAGAACTGACCCTTGTAACCAAATACCACCTGTACCCCAATCACTTATGGGGAAAAAAAAGTTAAAAAGAAAATTAGTCTTAGGTATGTCAAAATTATAGGGGCCTGGCTGGTACTCAGTAGGTCGCACAGAGGTGAAAAGGTATAAAGAAAGGGCATATACAACCTTAACACAGAGTCTAAAGCTATAGCTACTTAACATTTAAATTAATTAAAATAAAATAAAATTTTAAATTCCTCAGTAAAACTCCCCAGTCTCAAGCGTTCAATAGCCTCATGTGAATAGGAACTAATGTACTGGATAACCTGAATACAGACTGTTTCCATTATCACAAAATCTTCTACAGGACAACACTGGTTTAGAGTTCAAATCTTAGCAATTGATTAATAAATAGCTTTGTAGCACTGGCCTAAGTAAACCTCGTAGAGCCTCAATTGTGTTACTGTAAAATGTAGACATTAACAACCTTGCAGGATTTGGTTGAGAACTGAATACAAACATATATTTTTTAAAAACCTCTTCTATACTCTCACTGCTTCACTTCACTAGCCTTTAAAAAAATAAAAATAAAGTTTAAAAACCCAAGTAAGCACTCAATTAAATGTTTAAAGAAGGCATTATAATATTGGTTACAGAGTATAACTTTAGCCTCAACCAGCCTTACTGATTATAAAGAAATCCAAAAGCAGAAACTGAATTAAAATATAGTCAAGGGAAACAAGGGGACTTTTTCAGGTAAAGGAAATATTCTACATCTTAAAATGAACATAGGTTGTACAAAAGAACCCATTTGTCAAAAATGATAGAACAAGGCTGACGCAATGGCTTACACCTGTAATCACAGCACTTTGGGAGGCTTAGGCGGGTAGATTACCTGAAGTCAGGAGTTCAAGACCACCTGGGCAACATCGTGAAACCCCCTCTCTACAAAAAAACAAAAAAATAGCACACGCCTGTAATCCCAGCTACTTGGGAGGCTGAGGCGGGAGAATCACTTGAACCAGAGAGGCAGAGGTTGCAGTGAGCCAAGATCATATCATTGCACTCCAGCCTGGGCAACAAGAGCAAAACTCCATCTCAAAAACAAACAAAAAAGATAATATATCTCTATCATCTCTTTCCTAAAATTATTATTATTACTTTTGGGGTGGGGACAGTTTCACTCTCACCCAGGCTGGAGTGCAATGGCACAATATCAGCTCACTGCAGCCTCAACCACTCAGGCTCAAGCGATTTTCCCACCTCAGCCTCCCCAGTAGCCAGGACTCCACGTATGTACCACCAAGCCTGGCTAATTTTTGTACTTTTTGTAGAGACGGGTTTTACCATCTTGCCCAGGCTGGTCTCAAATTCCTAGGCTCAAACAGTCTGCCCACCTTGGCCTCCCAGAGTGCTAGGATTACTGGCATGAGCCACCATGCCCAGCCTTAAAAGTATTTTAGTTGGACCTTCCATCTGCAGACAATAAGCTACACTTTTGATACCATATGATTTTTTACAAACTACTACAGACATGAAAAATAATCCTAAGGATGACTTTTCTTCCTTCTTTTATTTATTTTTTAAAACACATTCATTTACTCCTACAACAAATAAAAATAAGACACATTAAAATAAGAATAAACAAATCAAGGCTATTTTACAGTCTCTTAATCTGAAGTGATCTTAAATGTCATCTGACACAAGTAGTCACAAAGCTTATGTCTGATGCCAACGTACTGTTTAACTACAAATATGTGTTTGTTTATTTTTGAGACAAGAGTCTCATTCTGTCACCCAGGCTGGAGTGCAATGGTACAATCTTGGCTCACTGCAACTTCCGCCTCCCAGGTTCAAGCGATTCTCCTGCCTCAGCCTCCCGAGTACCTGGGATCACAAAAGACCACCACCATGTCCAGCTAATTTTTTGTATTTTTAGTAGAGACGAGGTTTCGCCATGTTGGCCAGCCTGGTCTCAAACTCCTGACCTCAGGTGATCCACCTGCCTCAGCCTCTCAAAGTGCTGGGATTACAGGTGTGAGCCACCACACCTGATCTACAAAAATGTTTTTAGATATACTGATCCAAATTATCGCCCTCTAACTAGATAAGAGATTCTAGCTCTGTAAGAGTTCGGTTTTCTTTTATTCAAGCTAAACATCTTTGCTCTTTCAGCTGTTTCTTATATGAAAATTTTAAGCTCCTTTGGGTTCCTTTTTTTTGTTTCTGAGATGGAGTCTCAGTCCATCACCTACGCTGGAGTGTAGTGGCATAATCTTCGCTCACTGCAACCTTCATTTGATTCAACTGATTGAATCAGCCCAGGTTCAACTGATTCTCCTGCCTCAGCCTCCTGAGTACCTGTGATTGTGGGTGAACACCATCATGCCAGGCTCATTTTTGTATTTTCAGTAGAGATGGGGTTTTGCTACGTTGGCCAGGCTGGTCTTGAAGTCCTGACCTTAGATGATCTACCTGCCTCAACAGCCCAAAATGCTGAGATTACAGGCATAAGCCACCATGCCCAGCCTCCTTTGACATCTTAGACCACTCTATGAAGTTGATAATAATATTGTTCCCATATTTCTATATTTTGTTTTTATATTTAAAAATATGGAATATTTCATGATTTACATATCATCCTTGTGCAAGGGCTATGCTAATAATGTTCTCTGTATTATTCCAATTTTAGTATATGTGCTGCTAAATAAATCAGTCTATATTTTTAAAAACTATTATAATAGAGTTTCAAAAAAACAAACTGGGGAACTGAAACGGCATTACTGAATTTTTATTTTCCAAATAAGCCATTAAAAAAAAATTTGGAGGCCGGGCGCGGTGGCTCATGCCTATAATCACAGCACTTTGGGAGCTGAGGCAGGTGGATCACGAGGTCAAGAGATCGAGACCATCCTGGTCGACATGGTGAAACCCTGTCTCTACTAAAGATACAAAAAAAGCCGGGCGCGGTGGCTCAAGCCTGTAATCCCAGCACTTTGGGAGGCTGAGGCGGGTGGATCACGAGGTCAAGAGATCGAGACCATCCTGGTCAACATGGTGAAACCCCGTCTCTACTAAAGATACAAAAAATTAGCTGGGCATGGTGGCACGTGCCTATAATCCCAGCTACTCAGGAGGCTGAGGCAGGAGAATTGCTTGAACCCAAGAGGCGGAGGTTGCGGTGAGCCGAGATCGCGCCATTGCACTCCAGACTGGGTAACAAGAGCGAAACTCTGTCTCAAAAAAAAAAAAAAAAAATACAAAAAAATTAGCTGGGCATGGTGGCATGCACCTGTAGTCCCAGCTACTCGGGAGGTTGAGGCAGAACTGCTTGAACCCAAGAGGCGGAGGTTGTACTGAGCCGAGATCGCGCCATTGCACTCCAGCCTGGGTTAACAAGAGCGAAACTCCGTCTCAAAAGAAAAAAAAAAATTGGCATTTATTATTTCACTAAAGAAAAGCATCTTAAAATTAAGAAGGTAAGAAATACATAGTCTCAGAATAAGACAAGAAAGATCTGTAAGAATTTTACATCAATTTTTTTTTCTCTTTACAATAAGGATGTATTAGGATACACCAATATTTTTTGTGGAATACAAGCATTAGGGTGTCATTGGTCTGCAATTCTGTTTTGAACCCATAAGTGAAAAATTACAGATATGGTCTTACTAGAAAGCAGAATTCAGTGTAACAATCACCATCTGCTGTCTGAATACTATACTCTTGTTAACGTATCATAAAATGTGCCAGATTTTAATTTCATTTATTTTGTAGCATGAAATTATGTCACTTGAAGAAAGAACATTAAAGGGGCATTTCAGATTCCTGCTTAATATGAGTAGAAATCTGCAAAACAAGGATTATACACATGATTGACAGACAGATATAAAACAAAACTTCATAATTAGTTCCATGACAAATACTTCCAAGGAAGTTTGAAGAGAGAACAACAGGGTGGCTATAGGGACACAGAAACAGAAGTATAATCAATTATCCAATTATATAAAACATGAATTGCAAATTATTTTAAAGCAAACAAGTATTTTCAAGTATAACACATAAAAAACACGGATTAAGTCCCTAGAGGTTAACGGCCATTCTCTAATTTCTAAACACTCCATAAATCCTCAGAATAAGCATACAGGCTCAAAATGCACATTGTCAATAGCAGAAGAAAAAAAAAAACATACACGCCAAGAAAGAGAGCAAATAAAATCATCCATGGCTAACCTCACAGCATTATAAGGAGATGAAACAACTAAAAACTCCAATTCACATATTAAGAAAATAAACATCCAAGACCAGAAACTTCAATGGGAACCGTCCAGAAGAGCAACACAGCAGAGTCTTAGTGGTAACTGAATTACATGTAATATGACCTAGGATTTACTTTCAGAAGAGGGACCCATCTGAGAGAAAGTACTGACAGTCCATCTGAGACATGATAGAGCAATGGCTACTGGGAAGTCAAAAAGAATACACTTAGAAAGTATGTAATATCAAAGTCGACAGTTTTAGCAAGACACAGTTTCTGGGAGAGAGGAGGAGGTGTCACTTGGAGGGTTGATGATAAAGGGAAAAAAGGAAGTGACCAGAGGATAAACGGCCTACTAAAACAAAATAGAACTACGGTGGGGGAGGAGGGTGTTAATTTATGTTTAAAACTACATTTCACAGTGGCAACAAATCAGAGTGCTCTTGAACTAAGTCTGAGAAGGCCACCCCAACCCGATCACAAAGTAAGACAAAACAAGACAATATTATTGGTCCAGTAAAATCCAACACAAACAACCTGAAAAGAAAAAAGAACTCAGCATTCACACCAAATTACTTATAAGGAATAAAAAGTAAAAAACTTGGGCACGGCCAGGTGCAGTGGCTCACGCCTGTAATTCCAGCACTTTGGGAGGCTGAGGTGGGTGGATCACAAAGTCAGGAGTTTGAGAACAGCCTAGCCAACAGGGTGAAACCCCATCTCCACTAAAAATACAAAAATTAGCCAGACATGTTAGTAGGCGCCTGTAGTCATAACTATTCACAAGGTTGAGGCAGGAGAATCACTTGAACCCAGGAGGCGGAGGTTGCAGTGAGCTGAGATTGCACCATTGCACTCCAGCCTGGGTGACAGAGTGAGACTGTCTCAAAAAAAAAAAAAAAAATTAAACTCAATCTCGACCAAAAAAAAAAAAAAAATCTAATGATATTGTAGTACTAAATTCAAAACAAAGGTATTGATGAGGAAGAATAGTATGTAAAATGGCATACTCTCAAAAAGTAAATATAACTTCAAAAAAATCACAGGAAAAGAGACAGAAAAAAAAAAACTGGAATAAGAGTTCACACATAAGAAAATGAAACTAAATGGCTCTAATTTAAAGCTGATAAACCAAACAGAAGAAACCTAAATATTTTTTTAAAAGACTAAGAGGATTTTTAAAGGTATAAATAAAGGTAACTAACAAAAATATATTCTCTTAACTCAAAAAAAATTAAGCAAATAAAAACATCAAACAGAATACAAACCCAGAATAAGTATAACATAATCCAAAGATGAGATCATTCAGTGGAAAAGCTAAAGTTTAAAATAGACTACATCTACGAAAGAGCAAGCACTAATAATACATGTGCATTACCATTTGCTGTGCACTTATATACATATCTCACTCCCTAATCTGTGAAGTAGAGTTTAGAGAAGTACTCCGTTTCTCTTTTACTCAGATTTGCCAACTGAGTTTTGTTTCGTTTTTTAATGATGTCTCACTCTGTCACTCAGGCTGGAGTGAAGTGGCATGAACACCGTTCACTGAAGCCTAGACCTCCCAGGCTCAAGCAATCCCCCACCTCAGCCTCCCGAGTAGCTGGGATTACAGGTGTGCACCACTACGCCTGCCTAATTTTTGTATTGTTGTACAGATGTGGTTTCACAATGCTGCCCAGGCTGGCCTAAAACTCCTGGGCTCAAAAGACCCTACCACTTCTGCCTCCCAAAGTACAGAGATTACAGGTGTGAGCCATCATGCCTGGCCTATTTCCTGGGTTTGAAAATGTTACTTAGTCTCCCCACAAAAATCTTTAGGATAAATTAGCCTCTATCAAAATCATCCCTAAACAGGGTGAGGTGGCTCATGCCTGTAATCCCAGCACTTTGGGAGGCTGTGGTCAAGAGATCAAGATCATCCTGGCCAACATGGTGAAACCCCATCTCCACTAAAAATATAAAAATTAGCTGGGCATGTTGGTAGTCCCAGCTATTTGGGAGGCGGAGGCAGGATAATCGCTTAAACCTGGGACGTGGAGGTCGAAGTGAGCCGAGATTATGCCACTGCACTCCAGCCTGGTGACAAAGGGAGACCATCTCAAAAACAAAACAAAATAAAGCTTCCCTAACAAAGAAACAGTTGGAAGATGCTTAAGTCTCCTTGGTTTTCATTTAGTGGTAGTGACAATCTGAGACCGCAAAGAATGTGGCACTAACTAAGATACTAGATGCAAGATCAGGGCTCTTAGTAAACACCCATACTCCAGAGTTAAGAACTACTCAAACACAGGCTATATGATCTCTACAACTCTAAGTTAAATCATGTATAGTCAAATTGTTATAATGCTTGCTTTCAAAACACACATTGGCTCCAAAACAACTGATGCATTTTGAGTATTTTAAATTTCATATTTGCTTCTGTGAATTTCATCTGTTAGACACTGTAGATGAACACAGAAAACAGCATCCAGAAAAAACAAGTTTCATAGGCATGCACAGCAGCACCTAGACACACACCTCAAACATCTACCACTACCTCAGTTCACCTTGTATGTTGTGAGCCACAATGAACCACACCCATCCACATATGATGTTACAACTTTCCATCAGATTTCAGATAACCTACTTTCTCCACTTGACAATAATTCACAAACTGCAATCCTTCAGACACCTAGTTCTGCAAGCAAGCACTATCTTTTCCAAGGTACAATATTTACATTACAGTATTAATGTATTTGTTAACCATTTAACATATATAAAACACTACTACCATTTTTATTAAGTTATTATATTTGTTTTTAATCTGCCACTAATAATGTTTTTGAATGTTGTGGCCAACCTCATTTTTCCCATAAGCCCTGTGGTTTTTATTGCATGACTTTGCAAAGTGCAGGGACTTTTAGGAATCTGTATGTCCGGAACAAGAGAATTACCTGCATGCATAGCATTTAGAAACATAATGTAACAATGTAGTCATTAAGTATTGGCTATACTTATAACCTCCTGAAGGGAATACCACAAAGTTTGTATCAGCAAACATGTAAAAAGTCTAGCATAAAATCTGGTTCAAAATAGATACTAAATATATAATGTTTTGCTTCACGTTCCCCTTCTTAGAAATTCTGACTTGGTCCTCAAGCATTGATAATTAAAGGTAATCTTGTACTCTCCAATGAGTTCTCTCTGAAAAATAGAGAGTACCATTTTAAGTGTAAGCCATTTTATTGTGAGAGAAAAAAAAGTTTTTTAAATTGGAACAGCAACCAACTGTAAAAGCAGACAACCAACCAAGGCTAGGCTTTTTTTCTCCCTAGGTCTATTATTTTTAAAAGCAAACTTTCACTTCTTGTTTTACGTAATCAGATAAAACAACTCTTATAGATGCCACTCAGGAATGTTTACACAATCTCCTCTGTAATAAAATCAAATGGACTCTAAGATTAAAAATATTACTGGCT